AAGCGCCCCGCCAGAGTGTGCCGAAGCCAGCCCCGCTGGGTGGCGGGAGCGGTCCCCTCCGTCAGGCGACAGCCCTTGCCCTGAGAACCGGAAGTGCGAGTTGCACAGGGACGGCTAGGAAGGGCCCCCGCGGAGAGCGACCCGAGCCCGCGCGTCTCGTTCCCTCGGGTCGGAGGGCGTGAGCCACGGGGGACGAAGATCAGGCCGGAGAACTTGGGGAACCGCCAGCCGGGAGGTTCCGCGCGCTCCCTGTTTCTGCCTCCGCCTTTTTGGACGCCCTCTTCGCTTTGATTTTCATCTCGTTTGGCCTTCTTTTTCCAAGCCAGGTGATTGCTGAGGCTGTACTGCAGTGGGTCTCTCTGACGTGATTGTTTTGGATATTCCGTAACGGAATGTTGCTTCCTAAGCATGTTATTAAGTTGTGGGGTGCTTAGGCGTTACTTGCAGACGAGGCTCGAGTACGGCACAGGGGTCGTGGGGCTTCATGGCCTTTGGTTTGTCCATTCAACAATACTTAAACAACTTAGCTGGAAAGACGTAAGCGAACCTTTGGGTTTATGTTAACACAGGCATTAAGAGAAGCGTCTCAAGTAGGAATGGCTACGGGTGTGAGCTCTCTCCGCGGTAGGAGGCCGCTGTGGAGATCGGGATGCGGCTGTTTCACAGTCACCTGGTGTTTTGTGATAGTCTCTGGCAAAGACGGCAAAGTACTCCACTTGATTCCCGTCGAGATGATGATTTCACAATTGACTTGCCCGAGTTCTTGGTTGTCAGCTTTGGGAAACCTGCTTGTGGACTTTTGCAATAGTTATACAAGGCAGTGATGCCAGAAGGACTTTATCAAGATAAAAATTTGTGATTTGCAAGCGAAGGCTGATGTCAATGACTTTTGGAGTTTTTTTTTTTCTTCTCTCTGTCTAAAATTGACCAGACTGGCTAATTATTCAAATGGTAAGTCCGCGTCATCTACATGAGTCCTTAAGCATAGTCAAGTAACGTGACATTGACATTTCATAAGTAATATTTGTACTGATGATTTGGCCCCAGAGGAAGAATAATTGGTAAATTAAGGGAAGTGTCTGTAAGATTTATATATGAAATTAGAGCTGGACCACTGGACAGCAGAGAGGATCATAGAAGCAATAATTGAAGTGAAATATTGACAGGCTTGGAAATGTTGGAAAGTCTTTTTCTTAAGTACTTAAGCTGAAGATGCGATCAAATTGTTATTTATAACTTTACTTCCACATAGCCTGGGTCTTAAAAGAAAACACTTAGCCAGGCTCGGTGGCTCAGCCTGTAATCCTGCGCCTTTGGGAGGCTGAGGTGAGTGGATTGCCTGAGCCCGCGGGTTTGAGACACGCCTGGGCAGGCGAGACCTCATCTCTACAATAAATCAAAAATTAGCCGGGCGTGGTAGCACACACCTGTAGTTCCAGCTCCTTGGAAGGCTGAAGCAGAAGGATCGCCGGAGCCCAGCAGGTCGAGGCTGCGGTGGCTGAGAGCGGCCACTGCATTCCTGTCTGGGCAACAGAGTGAGACTCCAACTCAAAAAAAAGAAAAAGAAAACACTTCGTTTATCTCTCCAAATTGAGAGACTTTTCAAAAAATGAAAAGCAGCTCATCTTAAACAGGCTTTTTGCATCACTTGGAGGAGTAAACTGAAATAATTTGAAAAACTAGCAGGGATGACACTGGAATAACTAAGGTTAAATTGTGGTTAAAAATAATTTGTTTGACTAAAGTTATGAGTTTAGAATTAATTGTATGCAAATAGTGCTAATATGCTTTTTCCCCCTAAGATATCGCTTCTTAATCTTAAGAGTCTCTGTTTAGGCCAGGCGTGGTGGTTTATGCCTGTAATCTTAGCACTTTGGGAGGCTGAGGTGGGAGGATTGCTTGAGCCCGGGAGTTTGAGACCAGTCTGGGCAACATAATAAGGCCTCATCTCAGACATGGAGGCTTGCTTTTAGTCCCAGCTACTTAGGAGGCTGCGGTGCTAGGAGGCTGGTGCAAAGCCTGCACACTCCAGCTTGAGTGACAGAGTAAAACCCTGTCTCAAAAAAAAACCAAAAAAACAAAAAAAGCCCTCTGTGCAAGCTTCTTTGAATAAATATTAGTGGGAGGCAGCATTAAGGGAGCCATTGCTTACTTTCCAGTACTAATGTTCGTTTAATGTTTTCCTTTCCATAACCAATTAAATATTTTAAGTACTCTATATTAACCTATGCTGAGTTCATAGCATTTTTTATTCTTGCTGTCCTTAGTGTCTTCATGTATCTTTACTTTCTCCTCAGATTTTAGGATCTGAGGGGCAGGGACTGCAGATTCTCACTTTTTATTTTTCTTCACAGTAACTGGCACACTGATCACATAAACACTTCCAAATTTAAGAATCAAAATTTTGAAAATAGTTGAAATACAAAAATGGGCCGGGCATAATGGCTCACTCCTGAAACCCCCGCACTCTGAGAGACGAAGGCTGAAAGATCACTTGAGCCTAGGAGATCAGGCAACCTAGCTTGGGCAACGTAGTGAGACCCCATCTCCACACACAGACACACACACAGAAAGAAAAAATAAATACAAATACAGATATGCTTTGCAAACAGTAAAAGTATTCTAAATAATAGATTCCTTAGTCTTGTTAGGTTTTTAAGACCATCCATTACTTGGCTCATTCTTTATCTCCGTCTTCTGATCAAAAGCTAGGTCATCTCTTTTCCCCAGTTCTTTCCAGTAAGATTTTCACTCAAGTGAATCACACTGGTTTCACTAGACCCTTAGCAGATGGGTTTAGGCAATTCAGTAGGTAATAGTCCTTTGCCTGCTATAGGGGTACTTGCTGTATTTCTTAGGAGAACAAAGAGACCCTGAGAAAGTGAGAGTTACCGTTGTTTGAAGGTGAGTGTAGGAAGTAATCAAAAGAAGTTGATAACAAGGGTGGTCAGTTTGTATTAAGTAAAGGAAAGAGCAGTTATTGCTGTAGAGCCATAAAAAGTATAATCTGTACTTTGGTTTGGACATAGATCAGTTTTGCATTTATTTGAGCAGTTTCCATTACTGGAGTTTGGAAATGATTGCTGTAGAAAAAAAGTGGAGATGATAGAGACAAGGGCAAGTTAGATATACTCACCAAGTCAAGATATCTTATAGCTTTAAACACAGGACAGCACTCGGAGCACTTGTTCTTAGTATTTAGTGGAGAGGATGTTTCTCCATGCAGCACAGAATAAAGGATCCACTAATCAGTTAGTGATTTAGATTTTTTAAACAGCTTTATTGAGATATAATTACCATACCATATAATTTACCCACTTAAAGTGTACAATTCAGAGTTTTTATTATGTTCACTGGATTGTGCAGACATCATCAAATCTAATTGCAGAAAAATTTCAACCTTCTTAAAAAGAAACCCTGTACCCATTAGCTCTCACTCCGCAACCCCCATCTACTCCAGCCCTAGTCAGCCACTAATTTACTGTCTATAGACTTGCCTATTTTGTTTTTTTTTTTTGAGTTGGAGTCTCACTCTGTCGCCCAGACTGGAGTGCAGTGGCCGCTCCTGGCCACTGCAGCCTCGACCTGCTGGGCTCCGGCGATCCTTCCAAGTAGCTGGAACTACAGGCGTGCGCTACCATGCCCAGCTAATTTTTTGATTTATTGTAGAGATGAGGTCTCGCCAAGTTGCCCAGGCGGGTCTTGAACCTGCGGGCTCAGGCAATCCACTCACCTCAGCCTCCCAAGGCGCGGGATTATAGGCTGAGCCACCGAGCCCAGCTTAGACTTGCCTTTTCTGGATATTTTATATGAATGACATTGTACAATATGTGTTTTTTGTGACTGGCTTCTTTCATTTAGCATAATGTTTCCAAGTTTCATCCACATTATAGCATGGAATCAATACTTCCTTTCGTTTTTATTGCTGAATAATATTCCCTTGTGTGGAGTAAGGTCAGAGTTCACAAAGGGCTTTCACCTCTGCATTTGCCCTCTGCACATTTACATTAGCATTCCTTAAGGTGGTGCAGCTTTGGGAGCTGATGGAATTCATTTGGCTCTATAGCATTTCATGGTTTTCCTAATATAGTTGATAGTAAGAACTTAAAAGCGGTGTGGGGTGGTGGGGTTCTTCTTACTAGCAGGTCTCCTTCTTACTAGCCGGTCTCCTGGGCTTGTTGTGAAGGGTAAATGAGAATACTTACTCTGTGCAAAACACTTTGCTTAGCCACGCTCAAGACAAACAGTTCATCGAAACATACTTTGTTTAGCCAAGCTCAAGAATCAAAGAATTGCCAAAATCACAGTTGTGATCACAATGTCTGTTTTTACATTGGATAACTGCACGGTATTAACCTCAAATGACTTGAGTAGTGGAGCCTATTAATAGGAGGTGCCTTTCTTTTTTTTTGAGTTGGAGTCTCACTCTGTCGCCCAGACTGGAGTGCAGTGGCCACTCCTGGCCACTGCAGCCTCGACCTGCTGGGCTCCGGCGATCCTTCCACCTCAGCCTTCCAAGTAGCTGGAACTACAGGCGTGCGCTACCACGCCCAGCTACTTTTTTGATTTATTGTA